ATAAAATAATAAAAATAAAAGTATAATATTAAAACATATATACAGTGAAGTAGCTAAACAAGGAAAACAAATAATAATAATAACGGTGCAATCCTGCTGAGCAAACCTCCCCGGCGTCTGTAAGCATCCCACCTCCTCTCCTACACCTGACAGGCAGCTGCCTGTAGGAGGGGGAGGAGTATTAGAAGCCACTGTGGAGGCAGGGCCAGCAGGATCACTAAGGTGTTACTGCTGGGGTGGGCTCCCTCGGGGCTTTAAGCACCCTGGAACCGCTGCAGCACCTGACAGACGCCTGTGGTGTAGGAGGTGGGGGGGGAGTGTGTTGGAAGCCATCAGAGAGGCTGGGACAGCGGCATCACTACACCTCACAGGTTGTTGTTGGCCGTTCCTGATTTCCTCAACTGTCATGAGCTGTCTGCAGTCTCCTATAACTGTTGCCTTTTTTTCCTCAGAACACTGAGCTCTGTAGCTGACCAATGAGAGAGTGGGGGTGCAGGGAGGCAGCAGCCTGGCAGTTGCATAGGAATCAATGGGGGGAGCATCTTTTACCCCCTTTGACCCCCCTTAGGGGTTGAATTTCTAAAAATCCCTTCTTAGTGAGCACCTGCGTCACGGTAGGAGCGCTCTCCCCGAATTTGGTGTTTCTAGGTCCAGTGGTTTGGCCTGGGCATTGATTTTACGGTGAGGGGGATTTTCTTTTATATATATAGAAGATGAAGACTAGTCTGCTCTAGTGCATCAAAGTTAATGCTAAACTAAAACCTTATTAGTCTTTAAAGGCTCTATAAGACTTTTATTTATTTTTAGCTTCTGCTAGGTAAATTGCCACTTCAGCACTTTCTAATACTAAAACTAGCACTCATGTACAATGTGCTTTCATCACTCTCACTATAAAACAAAGATCCCAAATAACTTCTGAATCCAGAGGCTTGTGTTGCTCATCTTCTGTTACTTCAATGTGGTGGTGATGGAAAGTCCTGTCAAGTTGCAGCCAACTTACAGTGATCCCTTGGGGTTATCAAAGCAAGAGATGTTCAGAGGTGGTTTGCCATTGCCTGCCTCTGTGTAGCAACCCTGGTATTCCTTGGTGGTCTCCCATCCAACTACGAACCAAGGCTGATTTGACTTAGCCTCTGAGATCAGGCTAGTCTGGACCAACCAGGTCAAGGCATTACTTCAGTGTGCCAGTCAACTGAGTGAGGGGACACACATAAACAGGAAAGTTAACCTAAAGCTAAAAGCTTCTTCTTTCAAAAAAGCAAACAAAACAAACAAAAATGCACCTTTCCCCATCAGAAGTATGACTGGCTGCTGTAATCATGCATGTATGGTGCTCAAACAAACTGCTTTGCAAAAAAAGTTGATACAGGATCTGGAAAGGAGAAAAGGGTAATTTTGATTCTGATCCGCACATAACTAGCTTTTATATATGTTTACTCAGAGGCAAGTTTTGCTGTGTCCCAAGGGACTTAACTTGAGAAAATTGAGTAGTATTTCAGGTTTAAGTTGGTGTAAAACAAACCAATTGAGGCCAGCTGTTTCAAGGAAGTTTAAAGCAGGTTTGGCAGGGGCCATAGCTCAGTTGTAAAGCTTCTGTTTCGTGAGCAGAAGGTCTCATGTTCAGTCCTTGGCATCTCCAGCTAAAGGATCTGCATGAGACTCTGGAGAGCCGCTGCCAGTCTGAGTGGACAATACTGACTTTGATGAATAATAATAATAATGCTTTCAATTTATTAATTGCTTTCCCCACGAGTGGGCTCAAAGTGATTTACAGTTACACTTTTAGACAGGGGACTAGCAATGTTTCATATGGGATAGGAAAGACAACATATAATTCATTTTTAATTGCACACGCCGTAACTGCACGGTGGAAACGTCTCTGACTTGGATCAGTCATGTCCCGAACGGCTGCGTCGACCGGCTTGATGACGTCGGGGCTTCAGGACCCGTATGTCGTATCGCCACACTGCCACCGCCTGGCCGGAGCATCCCACCGCAGGGATTTTTCTTGTAGCCGAGTAGTTTCTACCGCCTTCCGACCCTGGAGCAGGATGTCCCAAGCGACAGCTAACACCTTCCCACAGGGGAGTTGGTGTGCCCACCCTCTCTAAGGAGTGGTTCCCATTTTATCTACTCGCCGAGGCTTTCGAATCGCTGGGTGGACGATGAGCTGGGGACAACAGGCTGGCTGCTCACACCAGCGCGGGGCTTGAACTGACACAGTTCGGATGTTAAGACAGTGGGATATACCCACTGTGCCATCGCTCAAGGGTCTGATTCAGTGTAATGCTGTTTCATGTATTCAAATCCAGTTATGACACTGTAACAAGTTTGTAGATTTCACTGTTTGGTTGCATTCCACATCCATAATGTACTTGACATACATTTTTCTTACAAGGCTGTAATAACGAAGTGTTATAATTACACCTGTCAACATAGCAGTACATACAGTAAATTACACATTTGCCTGATATTCATACATAGCATGTATGCTTGTGAATGTCTGTGTATGAAAATGTCACACTGTTGTTCTCAGTGTTTTCTGCCTAAAAGAGCTGTGATTTGTAGCCAGATTTGCAATTAAACTGAAAGTCTACACTACCCATTTAAAATTCAATTTTCATTGCCAGGAGTAAAAGATGCCTATGTAAACTGCATTAGTTTATGAATCACATGGAAACTCAGTGAGGTCAAGCCTTTTATTACACCAGCTTTACACTTCAGTCCACCAACCAGCTATAAACTGGAGTCCTTGACTGAAGTTGGCTTAAATATAACTACTTCAATTAACTGGATTGTGGAGTGGGTTGAGTATCTCCCAACAAAGGAATGCAGGCTGCAGTCCTGGATCTTTCTAATGGGGAGGTGATCTCTCTAATGGGGAGAAGAACCCCTCTGATGCTCAGTTGTAGGTTTGGGGCAGGCTTTTTGTGCTAATGTATCTGTGCTTTTAGCTACAAGCATAAATGTTTGGCAATTTTAATTTGGTGAAATCCATATAATCAGGGGATCAGTTAAAAGAGTGTTCATGCTAGATATCAGGATGAAATTCTGCCAATTAAATGAGTGCGTTCAGCTAACATGTTGGCCTTTCATTAATTGCCTTGGATTATGCTTTTAAAAGACACATATTTTTGTATTTAAATTTTTCATTTCATATGGAGGGCTAGCAAATCATATGGTAAACATTTGGTTTTCTTCTGAACTATAGCATGCAGTGTTGTTTGCTGCCTCAGTTATTCATTAACAACGCTTCCATTTTGTGGTTCGCAGAAAAAGAACCAGTTATTTAACTGCTATAGTTATATGTGGTTTAGAGGTGAGGGTTTATTGATATCATTGCCTTTCCCTCTCTAATTCAAGCACTGATGAAACACTACTGATTTCTCTTTCGTGACTAACTGTGGTAGGTTTATATTTGGAACCTACTTTTCAAACAGTTGTTTCTCA